AGTGCGAGGGGCGGGGTACACCCTGGACAGGTCGCAAGTCCATCACAGGGCCACACATAGAGACAAACGAGCATTCACTCTCTCACTCACACCTAGGGACAATTTAGAGTTATCAATTAACCTAACAGTCATGTTTTTGGTCTGTGGGAGGAAGCCGGAGTACCCGGAGAGAACCCACGCATGCACGGAGAGAACATGCAAACTCTACCCAGAAAGGTCCCCAGACCGGGATTTGAACCGGTGACCTTCTTGCTGAGAGGCATCAGCTCTACCAACTGAGCCACCGTGCCGCCCTGGGAAACCACAGCGGAGGCTTTGAACTCTGTTCATGCTTCATGTTAATCCTAATAAATCAAAGATATGTCTGCACCATGACTGAAAACTACCTTCACTACAGCCCTTTTATATAGTCCTTTGACCAATGGAAATACTGTGTTTTTACCTAGAGGATAACAGGTTACAACCTTGTAACTTTGGCAACTGTTGGTGGGCCAAATCAAATGGCTTGGAAGCCAAATTTGGCCTGTGGGCCCCACTTTGGGCTCCTCTGATGTACATTATAGGACGACTTGATATGAAAAGTTAATTACAAGAGAAGAAACTAAATATAATTGGGGGTGTTAAAGTGGGTAAAAAAAGGAAAAGAAAGGTGTTTGTGGAAGATGTTTGTGTTGGCGTCTGTGTCGGCCGGTCAGCTCCTGAAGCCAGCTGTGGGTATTTATCACCTGGTCCTGGATAATCTCATAGTATCCAGCTTAACCAAATTTACAGTACTTACTTTGCTTTATCTGCATCTGTTCGCTTAATTACCACAAAACAACAGCAGAACTTCCTGCCAGCGGGGAGAATAAAGGAGCGTAATTTAATTTTACAGTTTTCCGTGACTGCAACGGTTTAAATATTTACTCACTGAAACATATTGACAGAGTATATCAACAGATGCTGGACCTCTTACAGCTCATTCAAACAATGTTTCAGTTAAAAGCTGCTGTCTAACATATGTACGTGCCTTTAGTATAAATAAAATGTTTATATTTCGTTTATTTTGCAATTATGTGGTAAAATTTTATGGACAGATTTGTTTGTCCCCCAAGAAGACCATTAATCTTTGCCTTCAGGTTTCAAACTAAGTCTTTATCTAAGGAGCCTTCGAGCTCTCCAGCAAACATTCAGCCTGTTTAAAGGTAACAAAGAGGACATACAGTATCCTGCAAAATCCATTTTTTTAGCTGTTAAATACATTTTTTTTGTGGACTTGGAGTCTCTATGAGGCAGAAAAGTTGAATTTAGTCTCTCCTGGTGCTGCAGAGATCACGTAGGGGTCTCTGCAGTACATGTTGTCTTGTGGGCGGAGACAGCCCTACACGTGATTGGTGGAGGTATTGATGTAGGCGGAGTTTTCCCTAATCGTGATTGGTCGGATTGACATGTTTTATGGGGCAACTTTAAAGAGGAAGTAATAATAGTAAAAAAAATATTTATTAACCGTCTAGGTCCAGTTTAAAACAGAAAAATGACTCAAATAAAAATATTGTGAAAATTAAAACATAATTTGACTATAAAATGCAAACGGCAAGCTTCTTGTCTCAAATTATGACTAATATTCATATTCATATTGATTTTTAGCCATCTTTTTATGAGCTGGTTAGGGATGTTTTGATTGAGCCTAATTGATACTCGTTTCTCCAGATGTACGAGGTTCGAATTTCATGCAGCTAGCACCTTCCTTTTCTCAAGTAATGACTAAAATTAATCTTTAAAAACACGTTGCTTCCTGTCCTTCTAGACGAAGCTACTCCACAAGAGGGGCCATCTCTGCCCYCAAGACAGCATGTACTGCAGAGACCCCCTTCTTGCAAAGATATCTTTATTATTTTTGCGTCCGATTTTTCCGTTTTCTCTATTTTCTATGAAGTTTTCTGAACTATTGTGTCAAATTATCTCCAACATTAATGTACGGCTGGATTAACAAGTTTTCTGTTGACATCTTTTAATTAAATTGCATACAAAATGTTTCTACAGCGCTAGAAAATGTAACCCCCCTCTCTGAAACCGGAGTGGACCGGTCTGGAAGCAGGAGGGGGGGTGGAGCTTGAAGAAACAGGAACAAAACGAGCTGCTTTGAGACACACAGCAGAAAAGTTATGAAAGGGGAGCTGGTAAAGTTAGAATAATGAGGAATTCAGAACAAAGCATCGTAGTTCCACTTTATAAAGACCCAACTGAAGGATTTAAATGTGAAAATGAAGGATTTAAAAGCATCACATGTCTACTATAAAACAACATAGTGGCTGTTTCCGTTCATCACACTGAACATGGAGATCTGTCTGAGGAGTTCAGATAGATTATAAACCATCTAAAATCAGCTTCATGTTTCTCTGACCACAGTTATCAATGTTATTAAAAAGACTCATGAGACTTTGTCAACCTCCCAGGATGTGGACGCAAGAGGAAATGCGACCCCATGTTGATAGACAGGTAGTAACCAATCAAGCTGAACTCAAAGGTCAAGGTTCATCACTTTCTAATCAGAACATTTGAAATCATAATGAGCTCCATGGGGAAAAACAACAACAACAACAAAAAAAAAACAAGCAGGAAGTTCCACTTGTGACAAAACCAATAAAACCCACACAGGAATTCAGTAAAAATGCAAAATCATAAGCTTTAAAGTTTCAGAGAGACATTTCTGGGACTGATGAGACAAAACTGGAGCGTAAAAACTGGTCACATCATGTCCAMATTTACTTTTCACTTCTAGTGACCTCTAGTTTCACACTTCAACCTACTTTTTTTTACCTGTTCCCATACTCAATGAGTCAAAGATCAGGACAATGTGGGGTTCAGGGTCCCGCCCAAGGACACTTGGACATGTAGTGTGGGGTGGGCTGGAACCAAACTGACAACCTGCAAACCCACAGCCCCCCTGTGGTTGTCAGGCAGGTGGGACGACACAGCTGTCACCTGTTAACCTGTAACTAACAGAAGAGAGAGACGTCCTGCCAATAACTGGTTTATTTTGTGACGGAGCAGTCTGAGGTTGTAGAGCAGGACATTTTGTTCTGTCCTCACTTTGTCATCGCACAAATCTTTTCAGTCAGGGTCCTAATAGAAGTACAAGTCTGTGTGTGTGTGTGTGTGTGTGTGATGGGGTAAACCTGAGATTAATACTAATAAAACCAGTTTAATCAGTGACTGTACCACTTATTGATCAGTTTCTCTCTGAGCCTGACGTCCAGCAGCAGCTGATGCCTCCATCTTTGTCGTCCGRGTTGAAGACGTCTGGTTGTGATGTTGTATTATTTACCTTTTTGTTGCATTTTGTGCCTTTCGCACGTGCACAAAAGCGTGCACGTTACACGTGGTTGTTTAATCACGCTCGTGTGCATACGTCCAATTACTGTGAGCGGGATATGGTTGGTGTAACATAATGAAGAGTCATTTTTCACCTGCCTAACTGCTGCTGCGTCGCTCACACTGTCTGTGTCCCCATTTCTGCTCTGCTGCAAGCAGCAAAGGCAAAAACAGGTTCTTTACTCCAGCCTCTACCTGTGGAATGAGGGATTTTATCAGAGCACTCGCTAACAAAGAGACAAAATGAATAAAATACAGAAATGACAGTTTTTTATTTGATAAATTCACCTTATTTAAATATTAAAATATAATTCTGTGTGTTTGTAGGAGTTGGTTAGTCTGTTAGCAAAATATGTTATGAAACAATATGGATTTACTATCACTGGTTTTACATTTAGAACTCAACTTTTGGACTCAATCTGATTCAAGATGGCCGCCACAGCTAATTAGCATTAGCAACGCGATTTTCTAGAATCTAGACACTGAGCTGATATTTGTCCATGAAACAGTCAGTGCTAACAGATGCTGAGAACTTTATCAAGAAGACGGGATATTTATTACTTTAAGGAATGCTAGATTAATTTATTTAATTTTAATGAAAGCATAACAAACTCAAACGTATCTTTAAGTCAGGTCGTTAGGAGTTAACATTCAACAACYCAACAGGATTATCTGACAGCTCAGCCATAAAATCAGCCCAAACAATCAACAGTTTTCATGTTTAGATCTCTGTAACTGATCTGAATCTGTCTCCCAAACACAACTCTTACTAAAGTGTGAAAAAGTGAAACAGTAATAAGATTTTATGTCAGATWTACAAAAAAATCCCAGTTTCCTGACTTCATTTCGCCCAGTTAAATATTCAAACTGCATGACCTCCATCATTAATGTCACTTTTCCTACATTTAAATAAATTAACATAAAATGTATCAATTTTGTGAACAAGCTGTCCTGAATTGTAGAAATTGACTCTGGAGGAAGATGGAGATGAATTCTTTCAGTCATTTTCTCAGCTTTAATATGAATTAGCTGGGAAACATTCTGCACATAAAGATTTATTAGTTTTGGTCGACACCTCTTTTTTTTAAGTGATCAGTTTTTACATCAAGAGGTTTTACTTCAGTTTTGTTTTTGATTTGATTTCTGAACATCAATAAAAACACGTTGAACCACCTGCAAGCAGTTTTCACTCGTTCCTGGTTCAGTGTTCACAGGAAACTCTCACTTTTCTTAGAGTTTCTTTTCAGCGACYGTTTTATTTCCCCTTTCTGCAGCAGCATCTCTGCTCCGGTGGACAGGTYTAAAATAAAAAATCCCCTCTGAGCTGCTCCAGCTGTTTACAGTGAGGCATCGATCCACTCTGCTTAATCTTCCCAGGAGCCGGGTGAGTTAAAGCAACAGTTCCAGCCGCCACAAACAACTCCAGTAAGAATAAAAGCCGAGCGCAGCACGCCGCCTGATCCCGTCCTCTCTGCTCTGATAATTCTTCCTTTGACAGAAGAGGAGAGGACTCCACTGAAACTTGCATCAGATTTATTCCCACAATCATGTTTTAAAGTCAAAACAAGCCTTAAACAAGAAACTAAAGTTCAGTGATRAGGAGCACCAGAAGCAGGGTGAAGTGAGGGATTAAAGTCGTCTCTTACCTGTGATGGCAATCCACACTCAGCCCCGGCTCTTCACTGCTCATCCCGTTTCTGCGCCTTCCGCTCTCCTTTTCACCCAATTTGTCTTCCCCCTCTTCTCCTTTATTCTTTCCTCCCCTTTGGCCCCTCGTTTCTTCCTCTCCTTTCCCCGTTCCTCTTCCTCTCCCCGCACTTGTTTGAGTCTATTTCCGTAGCAGCAACAGTGGCGCCCGCTGCGACGGTGGCATGTTTTCCAGCACTTTGGCAGAAGGTCACATTATCACTCGCTGCTACAGAGGGAGGAAGAGGAGGATGGAAGTGATGGAGGTGAGCAGGTGCCAAAGGAGGAACAAGGCGAATAAAAAAACTGTGCTTTTCCTGGTTGATGATTCCAGCTGRGAGTCGAGTCGGCTGCTTCAGAGCAGAGCTTTCAGGTCAGATGTCCCGGATTCTTTAGAGGAACAAAACTTAGTGCATTTTTGCATAAAACTGCATCTTTTTTTAATGTCCTTTCCAGCTGCTCACCTCTTGGAAAAACCTAATTCCTTTCTTGTCATCAGAGTTGAGACTTAAAAAAAAAAACCTCCAAACTTAATCCAGCACAGAACAAATCCTCAAGTTTCAGCTCCTCCCTCCCGTCCCTCGCTCATCACTGCCCAGATCGTGAAGATGCAGATTTACTCCGTGTTGGAGTGACACGTTTGTCCACTCCCGTACTTCACACATCCTGCAGGGTGACCCTTGTCTCCATCTCCCAGCCTCCTCTGATGCGAGCGGCTCTCTTGCAGCCACTCCATCAAATTAAGACTGAGAAACGATCCAGCTGTCCTGAGACGAGGCTGTTAGCGGCCAGTGGCAGATGGGCCGGAGCGGGGGTCRAGATGTGAGCCGGCTGCCGGTATTTGGAGACTCTAGGATCCTGGTGCTGGCCTTCGTCGAAACACACCTGGTTTGCCTGTTTGTGGCTTCACCAAGCTGCACTTGTTTTTCAGCTGTTTCTTGATCTTTGCCCACCTGCATCCCCCCCCTCGCCCCCCTCCTCAGCAGAGCTGTAACTCTGGCATCAGTGAATCCTGACTCCTACATTCCATGTCACAGGATGGGCTTGTGAGCTCTAATCATTATGTAGTAAGGATTTATCCTCTAACTCTCCCTCCCCTCCCCTGTGCTTTCCTCCCTCCACCCTTCCTGTTCGTTTCCCTCTCTCTGCTGTTCAGGCACCGGCCGTCCTGCAACTCATTACAGCCTGTTTTCAACCGTCGTTATGCCTTTCATCACTTCTCCCTTTTTTATTTCATGGTTTTGGTTTCAGCCCCGACTGTCTCCCCGCAGCTCGCATCTCAACAGGTTTGTCCTTGAAAAATTCCCCGGAACAGACGGAGTCGGTGATCAAATTTCTTCTGCGTGTGTGCTCGTTTCTTTAAAGTCTGAGATTATTTGTACTCTGTGTGATGTAATCTGTTGTCAAAGCAAACACAGATGATGGATAAACTGCACGGAGAGAATCCATATGTCAGTGATGTGGTGGGATGACCTGTGTTGCTATTACAGGTTATATCCAGCAGGGGGCAGTAACCTGTTTGTCTTTCCGCAGCACCGGACGCTCCTTCGCTGGTGTCTGATTTTTTTCACCAAATTTTGGAAAATAAAAAGTTTTGATTCAGATGCAAGAGCTGTGTGGTCCAGCTCTGKGCTTGGATGAAACTTTTGCATTTCCAGCCGTTATCAATAAGTTTMAAATCAGGACTTCCTGCAGCCGATTGGAATTGCTGGGAAAAGTCATAATATCAGGGACACTGGCTTTACTATGAGATTAATGTTTAACAACATATAATTATTAATTTGTATTTAACATCTTAATGCTAAGTCTTTAAAATATGTGACCATCACATCGAAACGAGGATTAAGTCCAAAGTGGAATGTGGAGAAACAGGATTTTTGATTTAAACGTGTGCAAAAATGGCATTTTGTGAAAATATAATAAATAATTCCTTATAAATGTATCATTTGAATGAACTGTCTGAAATATAATCCTAAAAACTTTGTAGCTTTTTTTTTTGAGAAGTAGAAACAGAAAAACAGATTTTCAGGAAAAATGCCTCAAAATTTTGAATTTTTCCGGTGAGCTAGCAATGTTTTTGTTTCTTTTCCAGCTGGGAAATCTTAATATACAAATATTGTTTGAGGTTT